ATGGTCAAAAGTGTCAAATTTGATGTGAAAGAATAGTCCATTTGCTGGGTACAGTGGTGTAAGCCTATAAACCCAGCAGCTCAGGGGGCTGAGGCAGGAGGATCACAAGTTCAAAGTCAGCCTCAGCAACTTAGCAAGACCATATCTTTAAGTAAAAATACGTTTTTTTGTTTTTTTTTAAAGAAAGGGCTGGAGATGTGGCTCAGTTTCCTTCCTCAGTACCAATAAATAAGTAAATAAATAAATGAATGAATAAATAAATAAATAAGAATTTTTTAAAAGATTCCTTTCAAAAATGGTGCTGGGTTAATGAATTTCCACATATAATAGGATGAATTTTAGTCCTTACCTTGTACCATATGCAAAATTAACTAAAAATGAAACAAATTTTTACATCTAAGAACTAAAACTATAAAGCCCTTGGCAGAAAACATAGGTGCAAATCTTCATGACTTTGGAACAGCAATGACTTCCTATATATGACACTCAACACACAAGAAACCAAACAGGGGAACAAAACAGATAAATCAAGCTTCACAAAAGTGAAAAACTGTTGTGCTTCAATAAACATGAGCAATCTATGAAAACCCATGTAATGGGATAAATGCTTGCACATTATATTTCTGATAGGGTCTGATATCCAGAGTATATAAAGAACTCTTAAGACTCAACTTAAAAAGACAATCAATTTAAAAGTGGGCAAAGTATCTAAATATATATGTCAACAGAGAAGACACATAGATATGCAAAGAAGCACATGAAAAGATGCTAGACATCATTAGTTATTAGGAAAGTGTGGATCAAAACCACAAGGTAGCACTTCATACTCACCAGGGGTTATAATCCAAAAGGCAACAACAAGCTTTAGAGAGCATGGGGTGATATTAGAACTCTCATACATTGCTGGTGGAAACACAGAAATGGTGAAACTGCATTACAAAACCAATTCTGCAGTTCTTCAAAAAGTTATACAGAGGTTTTCTCATATAACCCAGCAACACATACTGCCCTAATCAGTTTGTGATACTGTAGCAAAATACCACAGACCTGGTGGCTTATAAACAACAGAAATTTATCCCTGTCAGTTCTGGAAGTAGGGAAATCCAAGATCAAGGGACTGGCAAATTTGATGTCTGATGAGGACCCACTTCTGGGTTCATAGATGGTTCTTTTGTTGTTGTGCCCATGCATGGCAGAAGAAGCAAGGGCACTAATCTCAGTCACAAAGACTCTATTTTCATAACCCAATCACCTTCTCAATATCCCATCTCCTAACATCATTTTAGTAATTAAAATTTCAACATATAAATCTGGAGGTACACAAATATTCAGATTATAACCATATATCTACACAAAAAATTCACATGAGTGTTCATAGCAGCTTTATTCATAATAGCCCTCAAAGTGGAAATGATCCAAATGCCCTTTCACTGGTGAATAAATAAATTAAAATGTGGTATGCTCTTGTAAAATGGCAATAAAAAGGAACAAGGTGCTGATATATGCTACAACATGAATAAACCTTGAAAATATTATGCTAAGCGACTAAAGTCTACATGTATGATTCCATTTGTATGAAATGTGCATAAGTAAATTCATGGAGGTGGAGAATAGTAATTGCCAGGTCCTGGGGACAGGTGGAAATGGAGAGTGACTGCTAATGAGTACAAAATTGGTCGTGTGTGTGTGTGTGTGTGTGTGTGTGTGTGTGTGTATACAAAAACATTCTGAAATTAGTGGTGAAAGCTGCTCAAACTTGTGAGTATACTGAAACCATTTTAAAGGAGTGAATTTTGTGGCCCGTGAATTGTATCTCAATGAAATGGAGGCCTAATAACTTTCCTACAGCACTCTCTCTGTTTTCTAGTAACCTATACTGTAGTATTTGCGGAAACTGGATTGCAATTGTTCATGACAATTACGGTTTCCTGTCTCCTCGACCAGCCTTATATCCTCAAAGGTCAGACTTATCAGAGAGACTTTTCTTTTCCTACAGTTCTGCATAATGGACTTCAACAAATATTTCATAAAAAATTAAAAATGAATACAACGTGAGATATTTAAAAACTGGAAGGGAGTTTGTTGCTACTGTTGTGCTGGGGAACATGAAATGATTTGAGTCTCTGGAGATCAGCAGCATCCAAATTATAGCTGGGTGTAACATGCAGAGGCATTTGAACTTTGTAACATAGGTAAGGAAACCAATGGGAGTCCCCCCACCCCCACGCCCCAGTATCTGCAAGAGGGTAGGGCTGAGCCTGCCTCCAAGAGATAAAGGACCTTGGTGTCACCTACCCAGAGACAGCCTGGCAGGAATGTTAAGCCCGAATGAAACCAAACTTGCCTCCTAAGCAAACTGACAGCTATCTCAAGAGGCTCAGATTATCCTCCGATCCTTCAATTGTAACTAGCTCCACTGCTGAGTTTCTTTTTTTTAATTAAAATATTATAATTATAGATAGTCGTTGGGTTTATGCAAGGAATTTGGTTTCAATCCCCATTCCCCCTACCCTTTCCCTCCCCTCCTCTCTTTCTCTGTTCTCCCGCCTCTAACCATTGGAAGTTTTTAAGCTGGGGGATAAAATAATAACATTTGCATCTGGAAACAAATCCTTCTGATGGCAGGAAAAAAAAATGTAAGGAGAGTAGAGACATTAAGGCCGGAGGCCACTGAACGACAGCAGACTTTAAATTAAATGGCAAAATAAGTCTAGGCATCAAAATCTCTTTTACTCTCAACCCAGGTCAACTGATTGAAAAAGTGAGAATTGGATATGTGTTATAGTAGGTTGGTATGCATTCTTCCCAAACCTTTAGTAACCCTTAATTTGGAAAGAGAGGGTGGGATCCAGTCCAGGAGAAGTACATCACCCCTATTCACAATCCACGGTTGGAAGCACCAGTCTCAGAAGCTGCTGCATTGGAAGTGCCTAGAAAGGAGAAAGCCCCGCCAGACAGTGATCCTTCTAGATTTGGGGAGAATAAACTCGGAAGAACCCACATAGAGCCACACCAACCACTCAGCAGCTGACCAAGCAGGTAATTAAATGCTACAAACCAGACCCTGGTTCAGTGGCTTGTCCAGGCTTGGAAGGTTCCCTGCTGACCTGGCCTGCTGCCCCAGCTCTGTCAGTCCTCCATTCAAGCCGTGGGAGGACAGGGGAACTTTTATTAACCACTTTCCAAAGTTAAAATCTAGGGAGTAGACATCTAAACCTCCAGGTAAGGGGATCCAACAAGAATCTGAGCTGGCTGTGTAGCTCAGTGGTAGGGTGCTTGTCTAGCAAGTGGGAGGCCAAGGGTCTGGATGCCCAGCACACAAAAACAAACCAACCCAACAAGAATCTAACAAAGTTTTCTGGCAAACATCGGAGCTGGATTTGTCTTTTTGATTCATGAATCAGTAAACAATTAACAGGAGACTATGAAAATATCATATAACCTAAAACACAGAAGGTGGTGGGATATGAGGATGCTTATGAAAGATTTACTCTGAGAAAGAATATGTATGCAGCTTTGGCTTCACAGAATAAAAAAAAAAAATCCTAGGAAAACAATAAAAAAAAAAAAAAACAGGTGAATGATGATATTGTAAGACAAGAGATAAAGAGGCATCTGGCTGAACTTGGTTAAAGAGAGAGTATGAGAAAAAGTAACAATAATCCAAAAGGAACTTGAAACAGAATTAAGAACAGAAAAGAATCTGCATTATGAAAATCATGTGGAAGACAAATTTCCTCCCACCTCACCTGTTTTCTGCCTAAACCTTTATGACTATCCAGTAGTGCTGGGCCCTTAGGGACCTGAGGTGAGGAGGGTTTTCCTGATGGGTGGGACTAGAGATGGTGAGCAAATCCTGCAAGGGAAAATGCTCAGCCCAGTCAGAAAGAGGAAATCCAGGCCCCCATACAGCACCATACACCAAAACAAATTCCAAGCAAATTCACAAGTTAAATATCAGGACAAGTCAAAACAAAGAAAACAAGAATGAATATTTATCTGAACTTGTCCGTATGAGAAATATATGCTAAAGGTACAGAAAGACTTCACTAAATAAGAATTTCAAACTTCAAAACCAGACAACATAATTTCAAAATACATAATGAGCAGAAAATTAAAAGTAAAAATGGTTACAAAACACAAAAGGCAGTTACATCTCTAGTAACCAGCAAGGTGCATATGAAGGTCCCAACAGTTAGAATTCCCTCATCCAACCAAATAACCTCCCCCCACCCACCCTCCATTATTTGAGTTTGGCAAAGATCAGAAAAAGTTCCCAGCATGTAGGAGACTGTATTAACAAAGGCAGTGTAATCTGATATAAAGACTTTCAACGAACTTTTAAAAATTTTTGCCCATTGACCCATGTTTGCATTTTGGAATTTCTCTGGAGGAAACCCTGAAGGTATGATATACCTCATTACAGGAGGGAAAACAAAACTAAACATGCAACCATTAGACATTGGCTAAATAAGTTGTAATCCAACCATATAACACAAGACTTTGAAGCCTTTCAAAATAATGTAGAGCCGGGTGTGGTGGAAAGGACCTACAATCCCAGCAATTTGGGAGGCGGTTGACAAGTTCAAAACTAGCCTGAGCAACTTAGAGAGAACCCTGTCTCAAAATAAAATTTAAAAGGATTGGAATGGAGCTCAGTGGAAAAGTATCCTTGGATGAAAAACCCAAGTCTGGTAATGTACTTTTGTCTCTAAAAAAAATGAGACTTGTTCATCAGCCTTCTGTGATGTGTCTATGATGTGTATCAGAGTTTGCTTCCTGTCCATTCGCCTAAGACTTCCTTGGATTTCCATAATTTAAATATAGATGGCATTTTGAACAGATCACCTGTCCTGAGCACACCTGTAGCTAGAGAGAATCTTCAAGGGTCCTTCTTTCTCCTGAGTATGATGCAGCCAGTGCTTCTGTTTCTGGCTTTCTCCCCCAGATACACACACACACACACACAGAGTGCCCATTTACCTCTTTCCCACACTTACCCCTCCAACGTGCTTCCCAAGACAAAGAAAGAAGGTCTGTTGTCGTTCAGGGCCCAAGAAAGTTGTTTTTTATGTAATCCTTCCACTCCTCCCCACCAGGAGGCTGCAATCTCCTCTCCAAACAAGGATTCCTCAGAAAAGAGGGAGGGGAAGTCGGCTTCCCTCAGGGCAAAGGCAGTTAACAGACATTCCTCCACCAAAAATGACAGATCTTCAAGGGCAAAAAAAGAGGAGGCCAACGATCAGATACAAATCTTATTTCCTCAGCTCCATTATTAGTTGGCAAATGAAGTGGATCAAGTAGAAATATGTTTTCTTACAATATTTCACAACAATTTGCATTTTCGGGGAAAAGTATAGCACTATCCTATAAGCTGTAACTTTAAAAGAATACTTTAAAATCTTTTTTTATGAGACACGGTCTCATTAACCTGCCCAGGCTGGCCTCAAACTTCTGAGCTCAAGTGTTCCTCCTACCTCAGCCTTCCAAGTACCTGGGGCTAAGTGTATGCACTGTGCCTGGGCAAAAAACAAAACAAAACAAAATTCACTTTTAAATATGTGTGCATTAAAGCCTTGTTTAAAATCTTTAAAAATTCTTGCAGGGAGTGGCGGCACATGCCTGTAATCCTAGCAATCTGGGAGGCTGAAGCAGGAGGATCACGAGTTCAAAGCCAACCTCAGCAACTTGTTGACACCCTGTCTCAAAATAAAAAAAAAAATTAAAAGGTCTGGAGATATTGATTCAGTGGTTAAATGTCCCCGAATTTAATCCTGGTGCCAAAAAGAAAAAGAAAAAAGATCTTTGATAGTTCCACTTATTGAAGCTGTGCTGTACTATGTGACAGCTGGGATTTAACAAATACATTACTTCATAATTCACCAAACAGACTTAGAATACAGATGGTATTATTAACATTTTATATTGTGTTTGAGAAAAGTGAGGATGTCTCTCTGATTCTAAAACCCATTATTTTTCCACAGTGTTGATTATGAAGAGTTCAGAAAGTACTCAAAATGCCTTTTGGGAATATCTTGAACAAATCCAAAGCTAAAAGTTATTGAGTATCAAATAAAGATATTTAATGAGGAATGTGAAAGAAAAAAAAATTGGTGGCACTTGGGAAGACCTGGTTGTTTGCCCTGGGCTTTGAAATGTGGCTGATGGGTAAGGGGGGGAGGCTTTACAACAGGAAATATTTACGACCCTTGACTGACAGCATGTGTTTCTTCTCTGTCAGTAACAGGTTTTAGGCAGGGGCATGATCAAAGCACAGGGTTTGGTACAATTTTAGAAGTTATGTGACTTAGACTGCCTTGAAAGCCTGACAGAAATCTCAGCCTGAGATCTCATTTCTCAAGAGATTCTTCCTCGAAAGCAAATACATTTCCGTTACTAACCAGTCCCACAAACTTGGATATCTGAGCCTTTCTCTGACTTCATTATGGCCTTTCACCTCTGTGCTACTTAAATCCCTTTCCCTAGCCTTCCCCACCTCCTAGGCTGACACACCCCACTCAGGTCAAACCCTGGGAAGGCTCACCGCTGGAGAAACACACCTCACTGATCTTTGACAGTCCTGAGCCTACTACTGTGCCCTCAGTGAGCACTCCCTGAATGTACTCAGTGGAATGGCAGGTCAATTGTTTCCCCAAAGTGAATAGTGAGAGCAGTCTCAAAGGCACCCCAGAGATGGCCGTGGGGAATTCTGCCACCTTCTCTAGAAGATCCTAACTGGACTCGACCCTTCATGAGGAATCTGAATTTTGACAAGCTTCTCAGTCAATCTATGCTATTGAATGACAAATGTATTCTTGTACTGATTTAATTCTAATTCTGGAAAAATAAAATTTCCATGTTTCTAAAAAACAGGGGGAATCTTTAAATAATTACAACTCTTCTTAAAATAGTCTACCTCCAGGAGCCTAATCAAAACAGCTTAGTAAGGATTCCACCAATACCCTTGCTTCTCAATATTGCCTTTTTTTTTTCCTTTTATTTACTTATTTTTTAATTTTTAAAATCGAAAATATTGTCTTGTCCTAAAAGCCAGGGAGGAGGAGTTGGAGCCATTTCTGATATTATTTGAAATAGAAGTGGCCCTTCTGCTCTTGAATTGATTCTTCCACAGAAGGCAAGGTAGAAGGGGTAATTAAGTGTATGGGCCTTGTCATATGAAAAATGGGATCTAGGCCTGGCACAGCCACTCACTAGCTCTGACCCCAAGAAAGTCATTCCACGTCTGAGTTCCACACCTTTCATCCACAGAGCAGGGATCACCCACCTACCTAACAGGGCTGTGAGGGTCATGTCACACAACCGCGGAGAGTACTTAATGTGGTGACATGATGCTTGGCACCCAGTGCATGGCAGTGATGATGCCGCTGTCCTCCCTGTCAAACAGAGCCTAAGGAAAAAGAAGCCCAAGAGAACAAAAATACATGTTATCTTTTTAAATCCAGTACCTAGAAAAAGTCCTGGCAAACAGTGGGTACCCAAAATAGCTGATGAATAAATAAATGTGATTTTTTTTTCCTGAAATAATCTCTGGAATACTAGAAACGAGTTCAATAAATCTTTTGATCTTTTATGCATCTCTGCCTAGGGATAAGCTTCCAGCGCTGTGAGGTGGTTTGAAATGCTTAAAGGGAACCAAGACAAACAAATCCTTTTATTTCTCATCTGGGCATCATCTAGTGATAGATACCTCTGCCAGCTAAGCGTATTAATTAATGACTTAATTCCTCTGCTTGATTCGCTGGAATACTTTATTCCTCTAACTTTGCTCCTCCATCACATTTTCCCCAAACGCTCTCTGCCCCCGCCCCACCCTCCAGCCCTTCAGCTTGCCATTCTTCGCCCATCAGCTGACTCCTTAATAGGGCCTTTCCTTCTCCAGGTGGACTAGATGGAGAAGATTGTAAATTCCTTCACTGAGAAAGAGTGTCTGCTGTGTTAGGTCTCTGCTTACATCTGTGAGTCAACAGCTGTGGAATTCAACAGCCCAAGGGCATGGAGATGCATTTTCTTTGTTTTACAGATGTTTTGGAACTTACTTCCCAACTAATAAATACCTTTTGGGGATGTAGCAGGATGAAGAAATAAACGTAACCAGTCGGTCAACTTTCCCCTGAGGCTTCCTCCCCAGTTGTTTTCAGGTAGGAATTCATTCCTCTGACCAAGCCTTCCTCTGACACATCAAAGATGACCTGTAGTCTAATTAAACTACAAGAGCCAGCAGACAGGAAAAATGTATTAACGCCTAATGATTCCTCTTAAATGTATTGATCCTCAAATGCCTGGAACCACACTGACAGCATCGCTGAACTTCTTACATGTTATTCTTAGATGAATTATTGTAAGAGACATGAATATTACAAACTTGGTGATTATACCAACAATTCCTCTAAAGCATACAGTCATAGGATTGCCTCTCTGCGAAGACAGAGATATCAGCTTCACACACACACATGCACACACATGTGGGCAGAATTCATTTATTCTGCACTCAACCACATGGTTTTTTTTTAAGAGAGAGAGAGAGAAAATTTTTTAATATTTATTTTTTAGTATTCGGTGGACACAACATCTTTATTTTATTTTTATGTGGTGCTGAGGATCGAACCCAGCGCCCCGCGCATGCTAGGCGAGCGCTCTACCACTTGAGCCACATCCCCAGCCCAACCACATGGTATTTTGCCGATAAATTTATAAGTACATACACAAGGTTATTATTTAAGAATTAATCCTTCTTTACTTACTTCTATTTTTGAGGTGGACATTTTCAACCTTGTTAAAATAGAATATTTCTTTTGAATGTATTTTGATCCTAATTATGACCTTGCAGAAAATGGTGAGATTGCCTAATGATAAGATTAAGGAGGAATGAGGTAATTCTAGTTATCTAAGAGCTAAAATTACCCATAGGCTTTTCTCAAATTGACTTTGGGAAAATATAGGACTAGATAGATCAGTTTATAATCAATGCCTTTAAAAATCAAATGCTCATTGTGTCTCCTGTACTCTGTGAATTCTTAGGGTTATTAAGATGGATACGATATAGTCCACGTTTGCCTCTTAGATCAGTGCTGCATTAGAACTCCTAGGAAAAAACAGTGAGAGATTCAGGCATTCCTTCAAAAATACAGGAATGCCTAGCACACACTGGTCCACTGTTAGGGGCTCCAATATAGTAGAAAAAAGAAAGGCATGTACCCTGCCTTCATAGGGGTTTTGGCCCAGGAAGAAAGACATCGTTGTTTATTAAATCACTCGGTAATACTATAATGGAAAAGTACAGGATCATTTAAGAGAACATAACAAAAGTATAAGTAATATCAGAATGGATTTTGATAAAGCACCTGCTACATGTTAAGGACAGGGGTGTAGTACACGTTAAGATACAGGGGTGTAGTTTAGTGGTAAAGCATGTGCTTAGCACGGACAAGGCACAGGGTTCAATCCCCAGCACCAAAAAACGAAAACAAAACAAAGCAAAAAAAAGATACAACAAGAAATGAAACTTAGAAACAAAGACTTACTAGGTTCATATTCTTTTGTTAGGCATATTATTCTTTCAAACTATAAGAAATAATAGTTCTCTGTGAGAAACTTCCTGCATAGCCGGATGGGTAGAGAAGATCAATAATAAATGCTGATTTGGGGGAGTTGCCCATGGTCTGAGTCTGGCTTCTCTAGATGATGGCTAAATCATTCCATTCAACTTATCATATATATCAAAGACTGCCAGATTCTTCATATCGAGACTATCTCAGTGACACACACACTTTAAGACATCTGTGGTAGACATCTGTTAAACAATAGCCCCCAAAATTATCCGCATTCTAACCCCCAGAACCTAAGAATGTGACCTTTTATTGCAAAAGGTACTTCACAGATGTGATTAAGGTAATGATCTTCAGATTCACCGATTAGCCTGAATGATCTGAGTGGCCTGATAACAATCACAGTATCTACCTAAGAGGGAGGCAGGAGATCACAGTAGGAAGATGGCTACGTGATCCCAGAGCCAAGATAGGAGTGATACGTCAGGACTCAGGAATGCTGCATCCTCCAGGGACTTCCAAGAGGCAGGGCATGAATTTTCCCCTGAAGAATCTTGAAATAGCCCTGCTGATACCTTCACTTTGAAAGTCTTAGAACTCATTTTGCACTCTCACCTCCAGAATCTTCATAGAATAAATGTGCTGTTCAAAGTCACAGCTTGTGGTAATTTGTTACAACAGCAATAGGAAACTAATACAATACCCTATTACTTATGAGAACTAGAAAGACCCTTGGGAGCATTTTTTTAAGGAAAAGTGGATTTGATTGGCATATCCCACGTATTTTCTGCAACTCTTCTTCTATCAAAGCAAACTACTTTTCATTCTCCTCCTCTTCCTTGATTATGGTGTCCACTCCGAGTAAACTACAATGGAAAAACTAATTTCAATAAATAATTTGAGAAGACTATTATTTGGAAGCAAATTGCTTGTTTTCTGACAAATTTTCCCTATAAACTTCAGAATTAAATTTTCTAATCTAACTATGCTGCATTAGAGGCAAGCACATTACAGACATAACATTTCACTTCAGGTCACCGCTCCTATTTTGTAATACAAAGGAAATGGGTGTGCGTGTAAAGTTTCATAAAAAGCATTTGCTAAGTAAAGTCAAACTTTGTTTTCCTCAAAGGGTCATCAATGTGGCAAACTGGAGTCTTAGATGGAGTCCTCAGGTTATCAGTGTTTCTTCAGTACCCAGCAAAAGATCTACAGAGGGCAAGGGGGATTGTTGGGCAGATCATGCGCCAGTTGCAGACAATATAAAGTCCCTCATCTTTTTAGTCATATATGCATAATCTGAGCCTGCCACACAATTAAATGGGAGAATACCACCTACAACAGCACGTAGGAAGACAAATATCCTATGGATTGAGGTAAACAGCATCTGTAGTTACTGGGAAACAAAATGAATCTGTTGTATTATCACAATCAAAAACAGGTTAGTCTCAATAGTTCTAAAACCCCATTCATTGGATGAGACAGATACTCACCAACTTTTAAGTGTTCCTTAGTGGTGAGTATCTTGTTAGCCCCATCTGGATCTAGTCCTTGGGCTGCTTGACGCTCCTCACAGGCTGACCCTCACAGACTCAGTGAGTTTCCTCTCCCAAGCTCCCTGCTACTCCATGGTTGCTAGAGGATCTGCTTAGGTAAATTATTTATTAAACTCTTCTCTTAAGTTGAGTGTTAAGGAGAAATTTGGACCAACATGTGGCTGCGTCTGCGGACTTTCTCCATGAAGAGGGATACTTCTTTATCCAGGTGGGAATAACAGTGAGACTTCCAGAATATCATCTTGACCATAAAGTGTGGCACAAAAATACACTGAATCTCTTTACTTAGCAAGTATTTCCAGTCACTTAGTAGAGAATTTAACCATGACATGATTTTGAGTTAGTAAAAATTTGCCAACATGTTGTTCAACATTGCTGAGATCCAAATACCTTAATAATACATAGAACTTTTATGTTTGCATTCCATTCCATAAACATAAAGCTGTACGTGTCCATTTCTCTGCTATATACAGAAATGTGCATGTAATTTCATCCTCTCACACCTAATAAAGCTACAATGGACTTTGTACACATGTCCTTGCTCAAGTACTAGGCAAGAACTAAAGCAAATAAGAATTTCATGGTTTACTTTTTCCAGCTGCATGTTTTGCTCATTTGTGAACCGTGAAATCATGTTAGGGAGTCATCACCAATATTCTTTTTTTTTTTTTTTAAGTAAAATGGAATAGAAAATATAACAGTACAGATACTACAGGTTGTTTATTGTTTTACAAAACTAATCAGTCACATGTAGAGAGAGATACATATGAATCTGTACGTAGGTGGGTGGAATGGGCGTCCCTGTGCAAAACATTTTTCTTACAATGGGTTACAGTAAAAAGTTCTAAAAGCACTGTTCCGTTATATATACATAGGCGCAGAAATTCTGAACCATAGAATATGCACATTTTCAACTTGACTTCCTAATGACAATCAAGTTGATGAATCAATTTATGGTTCTCTCAGGATGTCAGTTAATTCTTTTTACCTCATGGTTTCAGCATTTGATAGTCTCATTTTTTACCCAGCCTAATGGATTTTAAATGATGTCTTAATGTTGTCTCAATTTGCATTTCCCTGATCTTCCAGTGAGGTTGAACATCTTTTCATCTTGAACTGTCTAATCATATTCCCTTGTAAACTTTCCTATCACTTTTCTTTCTGATTTGCAGTAATTCTTATATATCCAGTATAATAATCCTTGTCTGTTATAGAGGTTGCAAATATTTTTTTCCTAATCTAGTGCTTTTCTTGAACTTTGTGGTATTTTTGTTGATGTAGAAAAAAAAAAGAGTTTTAAATTTAGAGAGAGGCAAATATATCATTTTTCAAGGCTTTGTGATTCTTCGCTTCTTTTTTTAAATATCTCTTTTAGTTGTAGATGGACACAATCTTTATTTATTTATTTTTACATGGTGCTGAGGATCAAACCCAGTGCCTCATGAATGAGAGGCAAGCACCCACTCTACCACTGAACTACAACCCCAGTCTGATTCTTCACTTATCTGAGAAATTCACCTATCCCCTTGAGTCATAAGATTATTGCCTTACATCATTTTCTCATAATTTTAAAGTTTTTTTTTTATTTAGATCTTCAATCTACTCAGAATGTTTGTTGTTATTATGATAAGGAGGATCTAATTTTATTTTCTTTGATGTGGAAACCCAGTTGTTCCCCTATCAATCAATAGTTAGATAGTTTGCTCTTTTCTCATGGATACATCATGCCATATTTAAAAATTGCATGATTGTTACATGATTTTTCTGAAAGCGCTCTATGTTCCATTGATCTACTTGTCTATTGCTGACCAAAACTACAGCTTTTTAAGTTTGATATCTGAGAAATCTATTTCCTTCTGTCTACATTTCTTTTTCGGGGTTGTCTTAACTATTTGGGATATTTTGCTTTCCCATGTGAATACTAGAATTGTTATTCCAAGTTCTGTGGAAAAAAAAAAAAATCTTGTTAAAATTTTAATTAACATTGCTCCTGTCAACATC